AGATCACAATATTACTTCATAATAAATTGGTACTAATGATACATGAGTAAAGGGTATTAGAATGTTCGGAGGCCAAATGAAAGTATTATAACTAATGATACACAATGAAATTATTTTTCTGATTATTTTCTGCTTTTCTTTCAATTTTAGGAAGAGGATGGATTTTGACATTAAATCTAAGAAAATGAAGATTTGAAATTAATTTCTCAAACTAGAATTTGGCCAGGTCACCATGATTAGCAACAGTTTCAAAGAGAAAGATAATTGGGATTTTTAATGAGCTTCGAAACTTACTTGAAAGGTGGGCTAAAAGCTACAAAAGAGGTGGTGTTAGGGAGTGCGAATTAATTTTAGACAGCTTGTTCAAGACACATTTTAGTAGTAGTATCTTTCTTTTGTACTCTAATTAGCCAGAAAATAATATTTTCTTTGTTAACTTTTCTCCTGATCTCCTTGGAGGAAAATACTACGTGATCATAATATATGTGACAATTGACTGGTGTTCTCAAGTTTGATTGCAGTAAATGGGACAAGTAAATCAATTCAATGTAATAAAGAGGGAAACCACTCTTTTTTCTTCCCAAACTACCAGTTACATTTTATAAGAGCTAAGAGTTAGAGTAATACATTTTTTATCAGTCCAATTTCTGTAAGCACTGTTGATTGTTATCTAGAAATGGAGCCCACCTATCATCTTTTTTAAATGGCAGCCACGGCTGAATTTTGTGGAAACAATGCATTGCGTTTTACAGAATATGGTCTTTCCTTACTGATGTTACTCCAGTACCACTCAGGTTATGGAAATCTTCTGCCAAATCTAAACACTGTGGAGCCAAGAAAAAGAGACTCTGGGGAAGACGAAATAAAATTAACAGAATAAATCCTAATTTGGAAGGGAGAAAAATGACAAATGGAAGAAAAATGCAAATGGCAGAGAGGCAAATAGTTTCCTCTAATGTCTATGTCTCCTGATAATATTTTAGAGCCAAGATTATATATGGACAGCTAAAGCCGAAAGATGAGCAATAAAAATACCTTGAATCCTACCGGAATATTGTGTTCTACATACTTTTTTCCCATTCTTGGGGAGACAAAAATTACACTGTGAACTAACTGCAACAAAAGAAAACACTGTTATATACAAGTAGAAAGTATGCAATCAAAGCTCATTCCAAATTATCTTTTCTTCCCCACCCATTCCCAAATAACTCTAAGTTTTCGAGAGGGAACCTGTTTTTGGGTGATGGGGGAGACCGTGCCTACAATCCTCAGCATTGATTTCCTGACTGCTGAGTAGCATTAGTCATGCATCCTCCTCATGCCCATAAATGGAGGACAAGCCTACACTGATGCGATCAGATGAATTTAAACAAGGCATGTTCCCAGAGAACCCTCAGAGCCAGACTGACAACACTTCTGCAACAAACTCATCTTCAACAGAAGCATGTTTTATTTCGCCTTCTGATACACAGGGCTAACAGACATGTTGACCAGTTTGCGATGCTCGTGTATATGCCTAGGACTTAGAGCAGGCCTCCTTACTGTGACACTAAGCTAAGATGAAAAGTTTCTGTGGGGGAAAGTTGAGGTCTACATGCTTGGTGTTAATAAGAGAGTATATTTATTTTGATGAATAGTTTTTCTTGTTGTTTTAAATTAGAGAAGTCCTTTGTGAATATTGGTTCACTCACCTTTCAAATACTAGGTTCCCCTGCCAGGCATTGGGCTTTGGGCTGGGCAATCCTTATGAGAAGTTCAAATGATGTCTACCATTCAGTCACGTCAACATAACCTCAACTAATTTTTAAACAGAGTTCATGAGAAGAGAACCAGCTTTAATTTTTACTGCCTCGATCCACTTTTGTTTATGCCACAGAAAGGAAGTATGATATGGTAGAAAGAATAATGGACCAAGAATTGGAAATCCTGAGTTTAAGTACCAGTTCTATCACAAAGGGACTGTGTGACGAAGGGCAAGTTACTTAACCTCTGGGTCTCACATTCCTTTTTAGAAAAAGGAGTGGTTGGACATAAGATTCCGTTCGTCTCCAAAATTCTTTTATTCTATATGGCAACACATTCCACAAAATTTTTTCTGGGATAAGAATTAGTTTGTGATTTCCTACCTCAATATTCCTTTTTACCCTCTTTGAATGTTAAACCAAATATGAACAAGAAGCAATAACATTTTGCCATAGCTAACAAACTGCCCTTCCACAAGTGACCTTTGGAGGTCAGGCCACCCATTGCAATATCTAAATCTGAAAGGCAATGGTCTGACCAACTTGTGAACTGGCAGGCTGCCATCCAAAAGGATGGAAATGGTTGTAGGCAGCCAAAATTCTTGGTTGGTACATTTTTAATAAACATAGAAAATAAGAACAGCATTTTCCATTTGGATTGCTTAATTTGGTGCCCATACCATTGGAACATTTGCTGTTAGAAAAAAGATGATGTGATATATCACTTATTTAGCGCAGGACAGATTAACTTTCACAAATGAGAAGTAGGTTATGGAGTCATCTGTAAGGAATTTTTATCCTTGTTTCTTGTGTCTGGCAGGAGATTGCTTGAGTCATTACAGCACTATCTCCACCCCTTTTGGCCCTTTTTAAGAGTTTTTCCTGAAACATAAGCTCTGTTGGATTTACAGTATTGCAATGAATGAACTAAGGCAAATTGGTATGACTTCTTTGTGGTTGAATATGCCATATTAATACTTTTCCAAGATGGTCCAATATGTCTCAATAGTTTTCCCAAGACAAAAACCTCTTCAGCAAATGTTCTTTGGTTAACTTGAGATACATGTGTTTTAAACTACAGCAGGTAACTTATGTAAGACAATGATCCTCACAGTCGGTAGCTATGATTTTTAATCATGCCTGTTGCACAAACTAATACAGTTATCTGAGTTCTGTATTTCCCTGTCTCTACTTGTAATATGGCAACAAGGACATTTGACTGGCAAGGGTGTTTTCTCTCCAGTGCTTGGAGATCCTTGAATAAAGTGCCCTCTGTGATGGTAAGCTGTAATTAGATATGTGGGTGGAAATTAGTGTTCTTCAAGTACACCATGTTTAAGGCAGAGGCAATCATGCCTTTACTACCTGAGGCCACCCTGGTCCTGTGCCACAGCTCCAGGTCACCGCTTCTACAGGGTTGTTGGTCTGCCTGCAGGCTCCAAAAAGAAAATAACTCAGTATTGAGCTCTGAAACCTGGAAGCTTTTTGTAGTTAAAAGTGGGCTACACCGTTCTATTACAGACAAGCCAGGCATTAACCACGGATGACTGCAACTTGTTCACTTTTTATGGAAGCGTGTATTATCCCAACCTTTATAACTATCGTTTTAATTGTACTTCTATCTTAACAAAACAAAATTCAGGAATGGATTCCTGGAGTCATGGTAGGCCCTCCATTTTGGATTAGATCCTTCAGTAAAAGGAACCCCGTGGCTACAGCCCTTTTCCAGTTATCTTTTGCGTGGAAAACACAACCCCCTCCTCGGGACTAAAAGGGGACTGTGATCTGTCCAGTCAAAAATTTTATTCGATTATTGGCTTTGGTTTTGGATGCAGAAAAACTCCCACAGCGGTAAATTCTGGCTTCCTAGATGGCTCCCTTCCCCCACTTGACTTTAAATGAGGCTGCCTCTCCAGTATTTTATGCCCACTTTTTAAAGGTGATTTCAAGACCATGGGAATGACGAGAAACTTAAAGCGTTCGTTTGTTCATATCCCTCCCCGCCCCCCGCCCGGGATTCCCTTTTCACTCATGACGACAGAAAGCGGCTCCACGGGCTGCGGGTCTCCCCTTGCACGCTTGCGGCAACGCGCGGGTCTCCCGGCGACTGCGTTTTCCCGCGAGTTGCCTGCGGTCGTTTGGGTATGAAGTCATCCCTCCACCGAGTGTGCACAGCTCGTTAACTGGCCCGGCACGCTGGGATTCCTCGGGAAGAAAAGGAGCAAAGAGAACAATGATGACCAGATTTTACACTGATATGTCCCCACGCC